TATAAAGATGGTAGGAACTACCATTCTGCTGTCCTTTACTGTTTACTGTTTATTTAGCCCTTGAAATTTTCTCTGAATTTTTTTTGTAATTTATAACACTGAGTTATGTATTAGTGTATGAAAGTTTTATTTAAGAGCGTTAAATAATTGTTGTATTGTGCCTCTGTAATATTCAAAGGCCTCTGACTAGTTTCTGTGCTTATGCTACATTTCATAGTCTGTGTGATTCACAGGCTCACTTTCTCATATTGACAACAGTTAGTATGTCAGCGCAACAGCAGAAGATAAGTCTACTCAACTTACAGGCTCTTAGAAATTATGAGATAGTTGGAGGTAATCAATGGGATCATAGAATGGTTTGAGTTGGAAGGGACCATTAAAGATCATCCAGTCCAACCCCCCTGCAATGAACAGGTTCACCTACAGCTACATCAGGTTGCTCAAAGCCCAGTCCAGCCTGACCTTGAACGTCTCCAGGGATGGGGCATCCACTACCTCTCGGGGCAGCCTGTGCCACTGCCTTACCACCCTTATCAAAAAGCACTTTTTCCTTATATCAAGTTTAAAATTCAGATACCAAAACTTTCTAGATAAAGTGATGTATATTGTCTGATGTGACTTTAAGGCATACTGTGATCAGATGGAGTGTTCTTTGGTTGTTGGACAGTTCTTTTCCGTCTGATTTCTTTAACCTCTTCTTTTGCATTTGATTATAGATCAAAGTAATGGTAAGGTAATAATTCTGTTTATTCTTGTTTAGAGCCATAATGTAGTTCTGAGACAGTCATGCATACTGACCAATGTATCAGTTTGATAAATATTATTGTATCAAAGTGCACATAAATACTACTTCTGTCTCTTCTCATCCAGCTTTCATTGATTGTCTGAGCACCAAAATCCCGCTTAACTTCCTTATTTGGAATTCTTGTCCCCATCATGGACATTAAACTGAGAAAAGCTTTTTGCTTTGCTTTTTCTCTTTTTTTTTTTTTTAAACCTATCTCCACATAGAAGCAGTAGTAATCTTTCTCTTCTGATAATGTTTTCTCTAAAATTATTTTTTTGATTCTGTTTGATTTCCAAAACACCTGTGGCTAGATATTGACTCAGTAGTCTGAATTCCCTGGTGGAGGTTGCTAGTTTGGTGGACAGACAGACTCATCATGTTCACATCGACAGAAAATTCTTCCTGTGTATTGATTCAAGATGGTTATTTTGAAGAAGACAAACTTTGAATCATTTTCATAAGCATTTTATGATTTTTTGACCTCTATTTCCTTCCACAAGTTATCAAGCCATTAATGATCATTAGCACTGAAGTAACTGATTACTTACAGTGAAACTGCTCACTATAAGCTGAGCTGTATAAATTATATCTAACAGACAAGTCAGACAAGTGTGGGGTTTTTTTCTTTTTTTTTTTTTTTGTAGTTCAGTTCTTGCCACAGTTCCTTGGGGACTGCAAACTAAAAATATATTTAACTGTACAGATTGTTCTAATTGCTGAAGACTGTTTCCTTATTCCTGTAAGGACTTGCTGTGGGAGCAGCTCTCAGTTGACCAAAGGACAAATTTTTGGCACAGCAGAAATCTAATACTCGATCAGAAGAGCATCTTTTTCAAGTAGATGCTGTTGGTATTAAAAAAGGCCCTTTTGATGATTAGAATTATGAAAGTAACACTCAGGGAAGTACTTACCAAGGCTCTGCAAGAAAGCTGACTAATTTAAAATAAAAATATTAAGAGTTTACTAGTGACCAGTGTCTGTTCCTGCAAAACTACACCTGCTGTTACTATTCCACCCGCTATGTTCTATCTTGGGGACATGTTTTTGTGTGCCACTACAATAGGCTTGCTGCCATGTATCCAGTAAACTTACTGCAGTGAGAGACTTGAGATTTGATTTCAATCCAATTCCATAAGACAGTAGAAAACCTAAAAAGAGAATGGGACCTGTGTACTGAAAGATATTTTTTATGGATTTTGCTCAACACTGTAGAATGGCATCACTGGTAAAGTTACTTAGGCATGCAATTTCTTGATTTCTTTGTTTTAAGAAATAAATTTGGTTCAAGTGAAATAGAAGTTGATTGATGCTAGTGTACCTGTTTTCAGTAAGCCTTAAAAAGTTTGAAAATATATATTATAAATAATCTCTTTGCAGGCACAGTATGTGCTTTTCATGCAGCATATGATCCATACACAGATGTACTTTGCTATTCTAACCTAAGTTCCTTTAAAAACTTTGTTCTGAGCCTGAGTTTGTAAATTATTCTGGGGTAAATTTGAATCAGTGGATCACATTGTTTCCCTAGCCCTGCAGTAATTACCTGTGCATCACAGTTGTTTTGTTTTGTTTGGGGAATGCTAAAACTGGTTTCTCTCTGCAGAACTATTTAATATTGTGCTACCCATTAGTGTAGAGCAAGGAAGTTTTTTGTTGGACATGGGACTGTTAAGCAGGAGATGAAGCGCTGTTCTTAGCTCACTCTACAAGCCTTCCTCTGTGAACTGGAGCAAATCATTTGGTCTTCTTAAGGCTTTATGTTTGGCAGCTGTACGCAGAAGAAAAGTTCTGCAAGTGCTCTCTAACGAGGTCTTTTAATTCATGAGTGTGTTGTTGTGATGCTTTGGGATCCTGAAAAGGAAGGTCCCAAATAAAGGCAAAGGACATACTGCTGCATTCGTCCTTTTCATGATTGGAAAGTGCAGATTCGAGAAGCCTGTTGAAGTCCTGTTTCCTCCACCCTTTAATAGATCCATCATCAAATATAAACACATTTGTTTTCCTTCTGGCTCATTTTCAGCTTTCATGTGTTACTCCTGTGGAAAATCTCCTAACATAGGTCCTTTGGCTTCTGTTAATTACTGTTTTGTGCAATTTAAGAAAAGTGAAGAATAATAAAGAGTCACAAAGTAGTTGGAGGAACTGTGCAGTAGAAGGGATAGCTTTTGGACAATTTGTGGAATAGTTGGTGCCTTTTAATAGTAGAGTGGCCCCTCTGCTCATGAATTATTCATTTTAATGCTTTTGTTATAATGGCGACAGTGTTCAGTCTTGGAGGCTGTTCTGGATAGCCTTCCTCTGCTGAAATACTGCACAGCAGCAGCTACCATTTGTTTCATAAAATATTGCCTTTATGTCAGTAACGTATTGAGAAAATATATTTTCACAATCAGAAAAGTGAGAAAAGGAAAAGAAAATAACCAAACAACCAAGAAGGTATGTTTTTCTGAAAGGCTCAGTTAGTAAACTTTTCTGGAGCCATTCGGGGAAATTATTTAGGATAAATATTTTTGCTGATTGTTGTATTTATTAATGCAGACTATACAATAACAACACATTAGGGAACTTGCTCTATATAGCGCTGTGCAATAAAAGGCAGATTAAAAACAATTGTACATCATTGTACATAAACATATTATGTTTTTAAACTTTAAACTAATGTTTAAAAATCTCCTTGAAACATTTTTTTTTTTTTTTTAAGATGAAACATAACATAACCCACATAACCCACACAGAAAATATATATGAGTCATATGCATACAGAAATAAAAGTTTCTTTGTGGTATCTAGTATCAGTCTTTCATTAAAGCGCGGACTTTCCTAAACAGAAATTCCAGTGCAAATGGTTCGGGGTTCTCACCTCCCTGTCCCCCACCTCCCTGCCCTTTTCTTATGCTGACTTCAGCCAGTGTGTCTGGCAGGGTTAGGGACGGTCCCTGTGCAGAGTGGGGAATTTGGGGCTGGGGACTTTGGTACTGGTTTCAGTGGGCACAAGTATGCGCAAGCACAGCGCACGTTCTCTCTATAACGTATTTTAAAAAGTAGTGTTTCCTCCTAAGCCATACATGTGCTCATAAAATGTCTTCAAGCAATAGATAAGTGTGTGTGTGTGTGTGTGTGTGTGTGTGTGTGGAGAGGGAGAACGGAAGCAGCGAGCAGATAGATGAACGATTAGGTCATTTGGATTAGGAATGAGGGTTTTTTATACTGAGCTCCCTTCTCATTCCTGGCTGATCAGATTCTCTGCACACATGCGGGGTTGAAACTGCGTCAGTAGAGAAAAGAAAACTCCATAGATGGATATAGTGGCAGAACTATAGGGAGTATCGAAGAGGGGAAAAGTTTGAATTGAAAGTATATGTGGTTTAGGGGAATCTGAATCATGCAGTGTTACTTTCGCTTCTTCTAGGCTTCTATTTCCTACGAACAAACCATCGGGGAGATAGAAGTTCTGATTTAGATAATGTCTTGCAGTCTTTGGAATAACACATTCTGCTGGAGGGGGAGTCCTGGCCGTGAAGGTTGTGCTCCAGGAACGTAGAGCCGTCCCCTCTGCCCACACCCACTGTAGTTCTGCTGTGGGTGTCACCCGGGGGCCTTTCCCCATGAAATGTCCCTGGGTTTGGGTGGGTGCACCGTGTAAAATGGGAGCACTGATAGGAACCCCTCCTTTTCCTTTTTCCTGTAGCTCTGCTCAGACCATTCTCTGTTAGCATGGTAGTGGTACAAAGTGTGTGGTCTTTCAGCTCTGACTAATGCATTTTGTGCTGTGTGACTGAAAATGCCTCATAGACTGCCAGGGCTGACTGAGGGCTGTGGAATGTGGTGCCTTTTCTCTGTTTCTCTGATTTTTTTATTTTTTTATTTTTTTCAGCAGAAGTGTGTAGGCAGCCTGTTGAGAAACCTCAAGATGCAGGGGAAATGCTTGCATGTTGTGGAATGTGGCTTCCCCTGGGAGACCCCCACTAGGCAGGCGGTGAATGAGCGGGGCTGGAGAATGAGAAAGGGAGGAGGCTGGAGGCAGAGAGAGATAGGAAAGAGTGAGAGAGGAGGAAGGAAGGAGGTGGAAGCGGAGGGGCCCATTTCCCTTTTTCTGAAGCAATGACAGCTGGTTCTGTCCAGACTCACATGACAAAGTGCTGTGGAGAGCAGTGCTTGAGCTTGAAGCTAGCCAGCACCGATGGTCAGCTGATCTTATTTTCCTTTTTTCCAGGCTTTGGTCAGGTGATCCATGGTGACTGGTCAGCCCACCAAGAGGGTACCTCAGCAGCCAGGTAAGAGATAAGCTGCATGCTTTTACATGCAACTGGAGGGCAGGGAGTTCAAACAGCCCAGCATTGCTTGAATAGTTTAGAAAAAAAAAAAGCTCCTGGTTTGCTTTAGTGTATAACACTATGATTGTTCTCAATGCCACTGTTTTTCCTATTCAATCTTCTTCTCCCTCTTTTTTTTTTTTTTTTTTTCTTTTTCCCCTTCAATCTGTCTTTAATTACAATCAGTACGAAAGCTTTTTTGGGAAAAAAAAAAGACCTATTGTGCATTGCTAAATATAGACTTGGGGATTGCATGAATGTTGCGTTCTGTTACTTTTTGAATAAAATAACTTTCCGTAATGCAAGTGTGTCAAACTCATATTTAGAGGGGAATTCCCAAATACTTAAACTATGAGTCATAAAAAGTTAAAGGACCAGTACAACAGCTTAGGATAAAAACTCTGCTCAGTCGTGGGAAGCTGCTTTCTTATGCGTTGGTAGTCTTAAAAAAAACAGAGATGTGCAAATGCTGGAGAAATACTAATTGCTGACCGGAACCCAAAACATATATAGTGTATAGAAGCTAAACAGATGACTGGGGGTAAGATTATTAGAATGCTCTCAGTTTCATGTGTGTTTTCTTTCATTGTTTCTATTTGCAAACCTTGCGAAAAGAAGCTTCTCGTGTCCTGAGGGCGCCTCAAAGGACTCCAACTCCCTAATTCCTTTGTATGATGTCTTAGAAAGAAAGGAAAAAAAAAGAAAGGAAAAGAAGAAAAACAAAAAACAAATGGTAATAAGTGTGCTTACTGCAAGTAAGTGAACAATTGGAAAATAAGAATACATGGCAGGTAGTACAGATCAAAGTGGTTTTCAGCTGATTGTATGCCTAACTACTGTGCCACATTCCCTTCTCTTTCAACATCTGTCATGCATTCTCTCTCACCTTTACTTCTCTTTATTGAAAGATCTCAGATGCTCTCTGAAATCTGGAACAACTTGTAATGAAAGACGCAGTTATGAGTTCTTAGGGCGAAAAAGGCAGCTGAGTGTTCCTAGCTCCCACCTGTAGCTCTGACAAACTCCTCGTGGTCTGAGCTTGAAGACTTTATTTTGATAAGGTGTTGCAGGAATTCATGTATTTTACTGGTGATCTTATCTATGATTCTGCAATATTTAAACAAAAACTGTTTGAAACATACTTTTTTTCCAGTCAGCATATGCAGTATCTCTTAAGATGCTGGTGCTGCACTCAGTAGGGATAAAGGTACATGACTTTGCAGTTATATTTCATTTCATGCTGTTTCTCTTTTCTCACTGTTAAAAATATAATGATAAGCTGGCTGTGCAGTATTGGCATTGCCTTACAACAGCAACCAGTGCTTGGATAAACTGAAGTTTCATCTGAGGGAAGGAGAACCTAGAAGAGAGTAGTGAGATAGGTGAAAGACTCTTTCTGTGGTCTTTACCCTAGTGGTCCTTAATCATTTGGAAGGTTAAGAAAACACCTTGTTTCAAGAGACCCAATTTGAGGATAATTACAAGAGGCAGATGAAGTATCAAACACATTGGTAGTGGTAATAGTGTATTTACAAAAGGATAATGAAGTGACATTGGCTTTTGTACTGCATCATGGTGCAGGGAGCATTCTGTCTCTGGCAAGTTAAGCTGCATCAGGCAACACAGACAAGGAAGAGGATGGTCATGTAACAGAGGAACTATGTTTTCATATAGGTAAGGTCATAGCAGCAATTGTGAGATAGTTCTAAAGGATTTGGGGACTTATTTTTCTCTTTTACAGGATGGAGGAAAGTAGAGGTTTCACAAGGTGAGGAAAGATGAGTGAAATTGAACAGTGCCAGGCTGGTTAGCACAGATTACCCTGTAAAGGCTGGTCTTTCTGCCAAGGGGGCAACAATGAGGAGCTCTCTCTTCAATGTACTCTTCTTACTGAGATCAGGGAGTTGCACAGGCTTGGCGTTTTGGAGAAATGAGGTATCAAGTCTATAAATGTCCCAAGCTCATCTATAACCATTCCACATGGGCTTCATCTAAAGTAAAGTGATCTTTTTATGAATAGATGCAAATTTTCTTATGTTTCATGGTGCTCTCCTTAGGGGAATTCCCAGCAGGTGGGCTTGTCTAAGGCTGCGTGCAGTAGAGGTACTATTGGTATATGTACATAAACAAGGCAGTCCATATCTTACATGTGTGCACTGCTGTAGCAACAGGAGAGAGGAGAGGAGCTGGAATAGGTAAATGTGAAACTATTTCAGAGAGTACTGTGTGTTTTTTTCATCTAGCTAAAACTGGATATTCACTGTAGACTGTGTTGTTGTTATTTATGTTTCTTTCTTTTTTTTTTTTTTTAATGTATGAATGTTCTTTAATTTATTAATTGTCAGTGAGAACTAGCATGTTTGACTTTTGGCCAAGTAGCCGATCTTGTTCAAATGCATTTCAGAGATAGGAAATATTTTTGAGTGTATTTCTAGCTTTTCATTTGTGTTTTTATTATATTTGCATTTGGAGAGTGAAGTTTGCTTGAAATATTTCAGGAGCAGTTTTTCAGTTTCCACTTATTGAAGTTAGAATATCTCTGTCAAAATAAATTCTGACTTGTGATCACTTTAGGTCACATTTATTTAACTCTAGTGTTGCCTAATGATCATGATTGCTCTGAATCTAGGTAGGAAAAAATTGTCTGCAAATGAGGAACTGGTTCTGTGTATATGGCATTATAAAGGATAACAGTAGTTTTCCTTAGAGTAGTGGAAGGAAAATCAAGAGTTTAATGGCTCTACTGAGTAAACTTGCAAGAAAATAACGTCTTAACACTATTAAATATAGAGACACTTTCATAAATAAATCAGCTTAAGAATGTCAAGGAAAAATTTGGGGGAAAGAATAGATAGATCACATTATTTTATCTTTAGAAGGTGTTTTACTGTACATTGACTCATAGTTTTGTTGTTGTTGTTGTTTTTTAAATTAATTTTAGACAATGAGGACTGAAGTTTTGGGGAGTTCTGTTACTTGATACAGGGTAGACTTTGCTGCTACTTAATTGAGTAGGTTCTTGATACGTGTTTGTCACGGCTTAATTTAACACCCAAGTGTCATAATTAAGTGGTATCCCACTTTTGTTTCAATGGACAATGCTGTAGCTGCTTTAAAACAAAACCCTACTCTTTTTTCCTACCTTCTCTTTCCGAGCAGACTTACAAGCACAAACATGACAAATCTGGAATAGGATTTTCCAGCTTTGAGGAGCTGAGGAGCTTAGACTTCTTTGCCATTATTCACACCCTTCTCTTAAGACTTCAGTTGCATATTAAAGCTCAGTCACGCGAAACAGTACTACCATTAGCTAAAATCTTGCTTGTATCTTTAAGCTCCTCTTAGACGTGTCATTCTGTAGCTTATCGCCTCGCTTGAATGTTCAGGCAGGCGCGGGGTTTGCTTCTTTAAGCCCCACGCCGTTGCTGCAAGCCGTACAGAGCGGCGCCCGGCTTCGCCTACCCGGCGGCCTTGTGTGGTAAAAGCGCGGCGCCCCCTCCCGGCCGCTCCCGCCGCTGCGGCTCCCCGCGGGCTGCGCGCTATGGCGGGCAGCCCGAGGCCCCAGCGACCCCTTATCTTCCTTCGGATGGAGCCGGGGTTGCTGAGGACAGCTCGGGCACGTCGAGCGTTTCGCTGGTTTCTCGCTTTCCGCCGGCGTTTCACGCCCGTTTCCTTTATGAGTGCGGTTTCCACTATGTAACACGCGGCAAATGAGCTGTGCACGCAGAAAATACTAAAGAGAACCCACCTCGATGAAAGCTGGCACCTGTTCTGAAACAGTGCAAAGAGCCCCTTGAGAAGTCCTCTTTATATTAGCTGCGATGTAGCATTACTATTAGCGAATGAAATTTAGCCTCAGCACGAAAGTATACTGTCAGAAATATCTGTTGTAACCTTCCCAGATCATACAGGACTATAACAAAATGTTATAAGTCCCTAAAGCTTCTCAAATAAAGTGTTTCATGTTAGCGTTTAATTTCAATACGTGTGAGTTATTTCCAAATCAATTTTGCCGTGCTTCTTAGCAGCTGAAGAAGAAAGAAAAAATCTTATGACTATATGCGCTGGTAGAAGTAATAAGCATCTGAAATAGTCATGAGCTCTCACACTTAATCACTGTTTATGAGGAATGATTATTCAGAAGTGAAAGTCCTGCCACAACATGCTTATATTCCAATTGAAAGCTGTCATTGCACTACGTGCTCTGAACTTCAGTTACATGGACAGAATATCCTGTAAGTTCATCATATTAAAGGTGTAAACAAGAAGCTGTACAGGGTGTTAAAATGCCCCTGTGCTTTTGGAGCACCCTAGGAGTAAAGTGGATATTCTGTAAAGTGCAATCATACGTGGAAGTGCTTGTGTGGGACTTGTTCCTGGCAGCTTCCCATCATTTCCACCTGCTGCCGCATGGAATGCTTTGACCAGTGACAGCAGATTGTGCTGTGCGGTACTGATGAGAAGGGTTGTTCTGAGCTTGAATGCAGAAGGTGCCATACTGAACATCATAAATATCCCGTGTTTTAAAATTACCGAAGACAGTGAAGCATGAAAAGACTTCGTAAGTGGTGCTAATGATGTGCAAATTCTTCAGCGTAATCATGACTTGCTACATGCTGATGGGAAGCAAAAGAAGAGAGATGAAAAAAAACAATGCTGCAATTTAAACAAAGCTAACTAGAGATTGATTTGATTTTGTCCTGCTTATTCAGATCATAGCTATTTTTACAGAGGACCACCTTTTCTGAGGAACTGATGTGTGTGTGCATGTGTATTTCTTTTAATAGTGTTACTGTTTGTCATTTATAACAGTATAATATAGGTGAGTCCCCAAATGATGACCTGCCACTAAGGTTGGTGATCATTTACATCTTAACAAGAGCAGTCAGAACGTCCACACTCACTTGTTTTCTCAAGTGCCACGTTCCAAGCTCTTCAGCATTAGCACATGTTTCTGAAGC